CTGTCCTTTGAAATCCCAGGTTCAAAGGGAGACCCCAGCCCCACAATAGTTCTGGTCCGTTCAGTCAGGCATCTGTAAAAGCAAAGCCCGGCATGCTGCCTGGGAACAAGGATGTTATTTCAAATAAGCGACGTCATTTTGCTGGGTTACTGTACGTTCCCCTGAGGTTTCAGATTAGCACAGATTAATGTGCCTGAGCTTTTGGGAGCTCAGGGTGAACTTTACACTACCAGATCATTTTTTTCTTTTTATTCCCCAAAGAATAATTCATTCTCTTCGAAGCTTCACAGTGGGGTTTCTCTTAAATTACAAATGCTTTTAAGCTACATAGTTCATTGCTCGTGTAAATATTTGAGTGTTATATAGTCCTGCTTCCAGGCACTGGACAGCTGGGTTGGGCTCACTGTCAAATGGTCAAGCTTATTCAGCTCCCGGTGGATGTTTAAGGTGTTAAGAAATGAGATAATTTACGAAAAGGGGATGAATGGCTGGCTGCCCCTGCTAGCCCTTTATTTTCTCTTACCTTAATTCCCTTTGGCACTTTTTTTACCAAACCATTTCATCCCCTCCTCCTCCAGAACAACTTGAGGTATGTCTCCAACAATTTACACTCTTTGCTTCAGCCTGCTCTCAGGGCAATTTATTCCATGTATTCAATACCCTTTGCATGAAGCAATTTAAGCCAAATTCCTCATTCACTCCTACGTGCCTTCTCTTCATTATTATTATTGATGTGCAGTGTCGTAGCACCAAGGGGCCTCAAACACTGCGCTAAGTGCGGTCTCTGTAAAAGACACGTGTTGACCAGAAGACTCCAGCCTTCTCAAAACCATACGACGGGGGGGAAGGAGGGTGACAAGTTCTCTACTACTTTGATGTGCTACATTGATGAAGGAGGGAATATGTCTAGAGGTGAAAGCAGGGGACTGGGTTCTAATTCTTCCTCTGCCACTATCACTTCACCTCTCTAATGCCTCAATTTACCCAGCTGAAAATGAGGATATTTACCTATTTCACAGAGAGATGGTGAGTCTCAGCTAATTAATATCTGTAAAGAGCTTTGAATCCTCTGATGAAAGGTGTGACATACATTCAAGGAATCATTATTTCTCGTCACATCCATAATGGCACTTACTTTCCCTTTTCCTGTAGATCCGTTTAGCAGTCTCTGTGCTATCATTTAAAACACACTAGGACAAACTCATCCCTAGTCTCGTTCCCATCACTTCAGAGCTGATTCACCAGGGATAAGATTAGCCCAGAGTTAGGTCATTTATCCAGCACGCCCTCGTGCTTTCGTTCCCTCTGTGGAGGAGACAAATGCTAGCAGATGATTCATTCCCAGAAGTGGCACCTGATGCCTTGTCAGGCTGCACAAGCAGTCGTGCGGATGTTACGTATGGGGCTGCGATATGTTTAGGCTGTTGATGGGCTTTTTTCGGCTTCTGTTAACTATCTTTATACCTCTTTGACTTTGCTGTATTAACGGGCTGTAATACATGATGATATCAAGCCATATGATTGATCCACATGGACTACTGAGCTTTTGCCTCTCCCATTTCTCTCTCAAAAATTTCCCACGACTGATCTTATCCTTTTATTATTATTCTATCTTCCCTTCCCTCCAACTCCCCATTCAAAGAACAGGCAGAGCAGTTTGCTTATTTTCTTTTGTGCCATTCTCAGTGGCTTTTCAGGAAAGCTAATGCCAAAGAGGTGGGTCTTAAATCTTTCCCTGAAAGCCGTCAGACTTTCATCCTCAGCTCCTGGGGCAGCCAGTCCTCAGCACACTGGCTGGCTGCTGAAAGGTCTGTTCCCAGTCCTACTATGATCTGCCTCTCTAGTAAGAGTTCCTTTGTCCCGGAGCAGATCTCTTTGGGCATGCATTTCTTTCAGTGGAATGCCCATTCCAGTTTCCATCCTATAGCAATTGGTCTCTGTGCTGCATCATTCCCTGCCTCCTTGCCCATCTCTGCTCTGTGACTGTGTTTGTCAGTTCAGATCCACAAAAGCGAGATGCACAGACTGAGAACTAAAAAGAAAAAAGAAAACTAAACATCTGTGGACATTAATATCTAAGGTGTCTTTTACCTACAGGCCTATTCTGCAATCCTCACTCACCTAAACAGTCCCACTGGTTAACACAACTATTACCATGATGAAGGGATGCACGACAACCCCTCATGTGTATTTAGTCACAACCAGCGCTATCTCCCCTCCCAACACTTGGATCAACAGTCCAGGTAAAGTGCCCTAATTAAAAGAGGCCAGGCAATAAAGGACACGGCTTTAAGATGTAGCAATAAACATAAGATCTTGTTGTAAAATCATGAAGAACTCAGGTATACTGTAACCCATTAGGTCTTATTTTTTGCCAATGATTTCTCCATATAATTCATAATAAAATAACATAACTTAGTCCAAATAAAACCAGCACAGACTCTGCCTTGCTCCGACAGGCATCAGCAACTCAAGCAGATGTTGATTCGTAAAAACTGGCTGAGCAGTTCCAATGTTCAAGCAGCAAACTATAAACTATTATTGCAGGGTCTCTATTTACAAGCAAGGGATATGCTGCAGCAGTGAGACATGAATAATTGATCATGCTGTTTGTTAGCAGGCTCTGCTACCCCAGTCAAAGCAGAGCTAATGTTCCCTGCAGCCAGAGGGAAGTCGCGTGAAAACGATTCTGGCAGGAACACGTGCTGTGGGTCTGGTGTGGGGTTATGGCTCCGGGTCACAATCACTCCCTTCTCGGCTGAGATTCCAGAGGCACTAACGGAAGGAGAAACTAGATTTGTGACCCTTATTGATGGTGCATTAGCCTCTGTCCTGACAATTGGCAGGTCAAGGGACTGAAACTGGCCTGAATTATCTCCTCCAGACACATTAATGTGGATTTCCACCCACAATCCCCTTCCTACATGGAAGGAGGCGAGCTCAGCTGCTTATATGGCACCATCCCCTGGGCCACATGAAGGCTGGTCTGCACAGGGGAAGGTGGGTAGGGGAGAGTGGGCAGGGCAGAGATAGGGCTGCACACAGTCCCACTCTCTCGCCCAGTGGAGTCTAGGTGAAAAATTAGAGGCCAGGGTTGTATTAGCTTCTCTGTAGAGCTCCAGCATGTGGGGCCCAGGCACTGGAGTGGCAAGGAGAGTCCAAAAGGGCCATGGTGATGGGGGTGCATGCAAGGGATACTGAACCAGACCTGATGCAGAGACGCAAGACTCTGAGCAGATGGCTCTGACCTCCCAAAGTACCTGGGGGCATTCATGAAGTTTGGCTGCATTCCTTGGCCTATCCATGGGAAGGGTGGCAAACTCCACTCTCACCCCCAACAGAATAAGAGGCACACTGGGAAGGGATCCCACAGAGATTTATCCAGGGATGGTCCAGGCTTTCATTATCACGTGTTAGTGAAAATAAATGCTTCCCAACTGCTCTGCAGTTTAGCATTTTACAAGGGAACGCTCCCTAACCTCCTTGTTTATTGGAAAGGGGCTACCAATGATGAAAATGTAGAACACTGTGTACACAAAGCTGCTGCCTTTCAGAACAGCAAAACATCACGTGTCCATAAAAACCCACCTTCAGTTTAAAACCCATAAGAAACCCAAGGAAATGTCCACCGGGAGGTGACACAGGCTGCAGAAGAGCAGGCACAACAGACTCGTCTGCAAGTTGTTTTATTAGCCATCGACAAGGTTGGCTGCACCTCAGCAAAGAGCTGAGTCAAAGTGATTCTTGCTCAGATGGCCACTGAGAGAGAGAGTTTATGTGAAAATCCTGCTTCTCTTGTTTATTTCTCAGAGGAGGTGTCGCTGTGGCTCTGTTGTGGGTGAGCACAACATTTTCACGGCTAGATTTCTCATTTATAATCCCTAATTATTGGCACTTACAACAACAGCACACGCTGTGCGTCACACACTCTGTGTTGCAGGCACTGCTTGCATCTATTCAGCGCCTTGGTAATTGATGTACTGCGTTAGTAGAGGAAAGCAAACGCATGTGTAATAAAGCCACATTCACCTTGAAATCCCTTCCCATTGAAAACACCCAGATAAGCACATTATATGCCATACACAGGAAAACACTGGAAAACACTCCTCTTTATTTAACAGCAGCAACCCGACTTTTCTAGCTGGCCTAAGCTTCCCCTTCCCCTTCAAAGTAACAGTACTGGGGTGGAGAAAACTGTAACATTTCCCTGATGGTCTCTCTTATGCCTTCTGCGCTGCTACTATTCCTCCGGGTGCCAAGGAAATGTGTGTCTTTGTCTGCTAGGCTGTGGCAGGCTTTTCTTGGGCCCCACATCTGGCACCTGGTGTATTTAGCAGGAGCACACTAGTTGTGTTGTAACGAGAAGCAGCCGGTGCATTTGGCAGCTCAGGTTTGACCACAAACCAGCAACAGAAGATGTGTGTAAACGTAAAATGGGTGGGTCTGAATCGCCTCCGGCTCACATCAGCATGAGCCCATTGGCCTTCATGGAGCTGCTCCCACTTTGTGAGGGTGCAGTGGCTGGGAGAATCAGGCCCTATAAATAAATACATTTGTGCAGTGCAGTGCGTTCTGGGCACCAGATGTTCTGCAATAATCCCTCTCCCGTCCCCTTCAGCATCCCCTTCCCTCCTCTCCATTCCCACAGCCCCTCGCCCACTCCCTGATTGGGGGACCAGAGGTCGTCTCGTCTCTTCCCATTCCACAATGGTCACACTGGCTGGTGTGTGTTTCAGATCTCCCTCCGGTAATAACTGGTGGGTGGAGAAGACCTGGGGCCTGTCTCAGAGAGCTCACAGGGCTTTTTTCTGCCAGTAAGATAAAGTCCAGCTGAATCCCCAGATCTGGCAGGCCAAGTCCATAATAATACAAATGCCCACAAATCTATAAGCCGGCAGAGTAACTCACAAGCACTATAGATTGGTGTGTGCGCTAGGCCAACCTTACTGTCCTGTGGTCTGATTTACACATGCAGGAATCAGAATGAAAGGATCCCTTACTTGTTTCTCCATGTGTTAGCAGCAAGCCAGGAATTTTCTGCAGCCCAGACACCAGCATATTCTCAGGGAAGAGGTGATACATGGTCTCGAGGGGCGGGTGTGGCCTTAAGGTGTACTGAAGGTGAGTGTTCTCTATCACCATCATGTATTTATTCTCTAAAGAGGGGAAAACATTATGCAATATCTGAAAAACACAGAGAGACAGACTTGCAATGGTGCTGCCCGTTGGAGAAGCTGATCGAATGATGGTGTCAATACACGCCCACTTTATCAGCAATGCAAAACCTGTTTTTAAAAAGTCTGTTTTTTTCATTAATGAATATGCAGCCTTTTCAGGCTTAGCTTTGTTAAGAGTTCTGGGCTTACAAATCCTCACACTGCAACTTCAGGGTAAGTGGAAACAATGCACAGGCTCTGGAAGATTATGATTAAGCAACTTAAAATTACTTGGATCTACTCTCACTCAGCTGTGAAGAAGTAAGAAGAAAATCCATCCCTTCTTCAATAGCACTGCAACTAAATGCTCTTGTTTAGGTTGCTCCTTAATCTTGTGTGTTCTATTCAAGTCCCCATCTAGGCATATCTTCAAAAGACCAGCATCTGAGTTCCATTCAGAAAAGAACAGGGCCTGCACACAGCTAAGCTGGGGTGCATTATGGTATTTCTGTGCCATCTTAGTTCACAATGAAAGGCAAAATCTTAATCTATAACGGCTGGCAAAGGCTCCCTGGGACACTTGTTTTAAATTGAACTTCCCGAAACTTCTTGTGCCAACTTTGCTCCCTCTTCGTAGTAAAGCATGAGATGGGACTAGTGAAACTGGCTGCATCTCCTGCCGTTTCACTGCATGCATTCAGAAGGGCGACCCTTTTCTCTTTCTGCTGCACATCTTTGTGTCGTGAGTGATTCATTTTGATGGGAACACATTGTGATGGAGGTTCGGTTTCCCCTCTGAAGTTGAAATGCAGGAATCAGTGGTACACACCCTGATACCAGCATCTCCCAAGAGCTTTCAGCATTCTAACAATGGTCTCTGCTCTCAAGCTGCTGAGAGGTATTTGCTACTCATGGGCTTCTCACTGAACATTACAGCAGCCCCTGCGCAAACTGGAAAAACTAGAGCGCTTTCTTTAAAAAATAAACTAACTCCTTCCTAGGTGATACATTATAACTGCCTCTAGTGGCTGGGATCCTGAGCACTTGGAAAGGAACATTACTCACATACAGGTTATTCCTCTTAAACTGCAATAAACACAAGCCACCTTCTCTGTGTAAGGCTTCAATACACAGACAGCAGACAACTTTCCAATGGGCAGTCACAGCTGAACTAGTGTTCATCATTTTTCAGACATGGTTATTGACCAGCGTCACCAGGCAATCAGAACACCTATTTCTGCCGCTTACCACTGAGGCTCAGTCTCTGCATTAGTGGACATGTATTTGCTTTGTTTGCTAGTACGGCCAGTATTGTTTTCCTTGCTAGGAAAGAAAACAGTCTCTAGAAATGACTTTTCACAAAGACCCCCTATCCTGGGCAAAAAATGCTACCTCGCTTCTAACTCAGGAAAACTAATCTCTGTGGAACAGCAACCAAGCCTGAGCTACTACGTTTTGTTCCAGTTACATTTTGCTTTTGAAAGCAACTTTAAATCCACCCCCTTGCCCATTTCCTTTGAGCAAACTGTAGAATAAGTTACTCGAAAGTTGCTAAAACTGCTCAGTATATTTCTCTGAATGGTCAGTTTTAGAGGTGGGCCAAAACCATAGCCATGTATTCAAATCCACATTGGCTCCCCGCATTTTGACAGCCTGGGTAAGTTCAGTTAAATGGGACCAAGAACCAAACGCCTCCTAGGTTTGAATCTGCAAAATAAAAACCTACCAAACAAGGTTTAGCAAAATTAAAATGACCCCTGGTTTAACCTGTTCTGATTATGTGTATATGTTTTCCCCAGTTTCTAGCAGCAGATATTGGAGTCATGCTGTCATCATTAATATCCTAGTACTGAAAACCCCCATGCGTCCCTGATATTTGAAAAAAGGAAAGCGTGTGTCTGACTAGCACACTAGGAGGTGGGAATACAATGCAAATCCTTCCACGGACTCTAATGGGATTGGACCCTTCGTCTCTGCGAACAGGAAAACAGCCTGGTGGTGGGACGCAGGGCACTGGAGAGCTTGTAAAAAAAATGGTCTTTCAAACCAAATCTGGTGAAAATGCAACTGAGCCTCCTTCCTGCTTCCTCTTCTGGGACAACCCCAAGGGCTCTCAGGGCGATCGACCGCCGCCCAGCTTTGCTACCGTTCATCTAGCAACTTCAGTACCCACCTTCAGGAAAACAGTGCACAAAGGGACAAGAGCCAGGCATGTTCAGAAAGACAAGGTCCTTGTTACATGCTTTGCACGGCAGCTTGCTCTTATATTTAATATTTTATACTGCACTATTCCTGCTCTGTGGGCCGTGTTCAATCAATACAGATATATAAATAATTGAAGCCCATTTGTGTTTAAACTGCTGTGTCAGGTTTTCTTGCCAGTATCCACAGAGGGACCTTTTTCCATACATTGCCCATCTTTCTCCTCTCCCTGCCTGTACAAAATATCCAGTCTGGGCCAGATTGAGCAGTCAGCGGAGTGCTGAGCTCTGCTAGGGTCATCTAGCCCTCTCTCTTACAGAAGTGGGAATTAGATATACCCCCATGGTACACAGAACTATCGGCACCACTGACACGTGGTCTTCCTCCAGCTCAGGCAGGACATTTGGCACTAGAAAGGACAGATTGTGAGCCCATTTCCCAGGCAAAGGATATAGAATCCCTCCTTCTTCCTTCATGACAGCTTTCTGCTTAGCTTTAGCTATCCATGTTTTTAGTCTGGGTCTTTCCAACTGAAATCCTGAGGTGGCTCACCTCAGTGTCTCTGTAGTGGGCTGCCCACTGCCAGGTGAGAGAGAGAGAGTCAACTCCTGGGCTCACTCACTCATTCCCCTGGATGTGGTGTACTCAGAGAACTCCTCCTGCCCTATAGCTGACACGTGGGTGATCTAGGAGCTCTGTAGGTCAGCTCGCCTGACCAGCCCTCACTAGAGCCGCTATGGTGCAGGATTAAGTGTGAGAGGGAGACACGGTCGGGGAATCCTCCATTGCAGACTAGAAAATGCAAACTTGTAGACTAGAGGTGAATCTGCGTGACAGAGGCATGCACCAAGCTAGATTCAGACTCACTGCCATGCAAAATACCTAGAAACCTCTTAAAGGCTGGGTGGGGGTTTGGTGGGCAGATTGTTTGATACACTGTGCTTTGGGCTCGTTCTGCCTTCCACAGCAGATGCGTCAAGGATATTATTTGCTTGTTGAGACCTGACAATGGTCTTGGTGCTGTACAAGACCCTAAATGCAGACTCCATGCCCCAAAGAGTTTACAAATCCTGCAGAGACTCACATCCACGGTTAACTTTATTCATGTCAAGCAGAGCCAACCGGACGACTCACGTGTGCTAAGTTGAGTCCGTGTGGAAGTCTCTGCAGGATCAGGGCCTAGCCAGTGGACATGCTGTCAGGGGATGGGATTTGATCGATGCAGCAGAAATTAAGCCCCTTTTCTCCTTACGCCCCAGCAACAGGCCCTTGCATGAACGACGGCCGTGGACAATGTTGTAGAGCACGTTGTCAGAGCTGCAGCTACTAGCAGCCTCAGCAAAAGCCTTGGGGTGCTGCCAACCCCACTGCTCAGGAGCAATCACTGGCCCTGGCCTCGAACAGCCTGGCACACAGCACAGGGGCATTTCACAGCAACCATCCAGCACCCTGGTCTTCTGGGCTTTTCTTCTGATCCATTTTGGGTGGCGAACCCCGAACCTGAGCAGCCAAAAGCTTGACACGCTAACACAGAAAACAGCCTATGCTACACTGAGCAAACAGATCAGCAGACATGTTACTGAGCAGCCCAGGAAGCAAGTAAAGTAGAAAGCAGTTCTATACGCTCTTACGTTCTATCGGGTCCTGCAGGAGGGGGTGCAGGAGCGCTCGCGGTGTCCCATGATACAGCTGGAGCCTAGAATTAAAGAGGAGCACAAACCAAACATGGCGGTTTAGATGGCTACATTCAAAATGAATTTCCCACAATGGTTCTCTTGATCAATACACAGCAAACCCCTGTTCCAGTCCCATGAACTCTCCGCCAGCAGACTGGTCTCCTTAGAGCCCTGAGTAGGAAAGGAGGGCAGGTGACTGAGATGCCAGGTCCTTTGCTTCAGGTTGATTCCCCAGGGAGTGGACAAAGATAGTCCCTTGAAAACCTCCCTGGTTTGAGAAGCTTCCCCAGTGGCGATGGCTGGTGGGTAGGCAGGATCCAGGGTACAACGGGGGTCACACTGGGTATTCACAGTGAGCCTGACAATGTCAGCCTGACAAAGTGAAGCAGCCACCTGGAAAGGGTTCCGAGAGCCTGGCCTATCACGTGGTGGGGGGATATGAAAGGAAAAGGAAGCAGGCCGGGCGGGAGAGTGTCTCCTCTTTTCCCTGGCTGGCGAGGATGGTGGGCAACTGAGCTGCTTTTTTGGGGGGTTATTTATGTCTTTCATGCCCCAAGTGTTGGGTGTGGTGGTGTTCCCCTTCCCAGGTGCGAACTCAGCTTACAGTCAGCCTGGCTTCACGAATCACAGCTTAAAGGCAGAAAGAGCTGCCTTCCCCTGGCCCTGGAAAGGAGGGCTTGGCTGGGTCAAGGCTGTGAACTCTGCACACACGCGGGACTGCACAGGGGCATCGCTGGCCAGGTTACAAATCCAGCAGCTGCCCTCACCCAACCTGCCACCTCAGGCCTGTCTGCTGAGGTGAATAAGGGCCCAGCCACAAGCAGCCAGGGCAGCCGTAGTCCATGCAATCTTCATATATGTAGCCAAGAATGCAAAAGGCTCAACCATAAACCTGTTTAAAGTATGTATCTGACCCCCATGACCGGTGTATCCTCATATGCTCTAGTTATCCCCATTTTAGAGATGGGGAAACTGAGGCACAGAGAGACGAAATGACTTGCCAAGTTCACACAGGCAGTCTGTGGTGAAGCAGGATTTCCAGGTCCCAGGCTAGTGGCCTAACCACGGGACCATCCTTCCTCTCTAAATGGAGAGCAATAATTCCATGTTGCCATAGAAACCTGATTCCACCTTATAAAATGCTATAGCGACTCACAAGTCCCGCTGTCCCTTGCAGCCAGCAACACCTACCCTCTGTCCTTGGTGGCCACATCTGTTGGCTCTGACTTGCTGTTGAACAGGTGCAGAATTCCAAACCCACAAGACAGATCCTGGTGGGTCCCCTCTCGCTTCTTGGCTGCAGCCACCACTTCCACCACGGCGACGATGCTGGGATGGTTTAAAGATGTGTGAAAATAAATGGTCTGGGGAAAGAGAAAGAACATGGCAGATTTTAGACCTGGGTGGAGTAGCTATTAGCAGCTTAATGTATATTACAGTTGGAGAGTAAGGTCCAGGTATATTCAAAATAAATATCCAGATAGTGAAATGTAGCACTCTGCAGAATAATCTCCAATGGGAACTGATGGAAGCACCATTGCAAATGATCCCTGGGGTCTGGGAGGATAACGAACAGTAATCTGTCATCTCCCACACACTGTCACTAGGGAATATTTTTTAAAGGGCTCCTACTAGAAAGTGTAGCATTCTTGGGGCCCGTTTACCAGTGGGACTTTGCCTTCTTATGTCTGCGCAATGCCGAGCATATTTTGGGTACCACTGTAGTCATAATAATAAAAAAAAAATCTAACCTTCAGGTCAGGTCGATTCCCTCCTATGAAGAATTAGCCTAAGAGCTGGGAAATCTGTGCTCTGTTAGTGTCTATTATCACCCACTCATTTAACTGGATAGTCGATCTGTGCCTCTGAATGCCCTCCCCTCTCCAGTGTAGATCCACCTGGCCACCTTGAGGCTGGACTATTGCAAATATGCTCTGTCTAGAGAACGACCCTGCAGGTCGTCCAGAAACTACAGTTGGTTCAACAGACAGGAGCCTGCTGGGATCACATCATACCATACGCCACCCACACGCTGCACTGGCTGATAAGACTAGTACTGGTCTCTACTTTTAAAAGCTCTATACAGTCTTGTATTTAGCTTCTCATTACACTCCTCCTTAACCGCCTTGGAGGGGCTCTTAGGGCTGCTGGCAGCCAGGGCTCATGCTCAGTGGGGAGAGGGGAGAGCACTCCAGATGAAAGTGCCTTCAGGTGTAGAATTCCCAGCTGTCAAAGATCCAGCAGAGCTCGAATTTCCCTCCTGAGGTGAGCGCTCTCCTAAACTGGAGGAATGGACCTGCTTGCAGGTTCCAAGAATGGCGCCACCAAGTCCTCACCACCCAGCACTAATACGTTCCAGAGGAGAAGTGATTTGTGCACTTCTGTCCTATGGAATTCAGCTACCGTGTGCGCAATGCCACATGGGAATGGCACCTAGGAGCAACCCTGCCTCTGTCCTGTTCCCCAACTTACATTGAGACATTTAGGACTAAAGCGAGTAAATGTCACAAATCCTGAGAATGAACAGCATTGTTAAAGTGGCCCAGTGGCCCAAACAATAAGGATCAGTTATTCTTAAGCTGCAAACGCCATACAAGTATGGTTCAAAGGTTTCAATTGACCTGAAGGTACCATTGCAAGCTCTAGGCTAGAAAAGCAAAGTGACTGGAAAAATCTAAGGCCAATCATGACCTTCACCTACGCTGATGGGAAAGAGAGTCGTCCATGAGGAGCAACAGTATGATATGGACCTAAGAGTACGGGGGTGAGGGGGAAGAGAGATGTCTGCCAGCGACATGATGAAAGCCAGGCTAATCTTTCTATTAAACAGTTATTATCATGGTGTCACCAAGAAAACAGTTACAGTAATCACAGACTGTCAGGAAGGGGTAACAGAGAAAGGCATTAAAACATCATCCCAGAAAAATAAATCATTATTCTATTAATTTTTATTGCAAAATGATGAAATAATGACCACTAACTGCTGACAGGTGGCTGGACCGAGAGAGAATTATGCTTTGGCTTTTGCAAAGAATGAGGAAGCTGTTAAAGTAGATCAGTTATAAAACTAAGTTTACCATTGTCTCCTTAAATGCTAATAAAAGTTTTACTAACATACTCCTCTCCCTTAAACTCTGCTATAAAGTAACAATAATCATCCCAATTAGGGGTCACCTTGAGATCATCACACTTCAGCTCTCTGGAGTGCTTTTTTTCTCCCTTCGCATTTTCTTGTAGAGAACTAAGCTATGCCCAGTTCTTTGGTTAATAAATTGCCAGAGGGCAATCTGTGCCAGAGAAAAAGCTTGGGAGACGTTATCTCACGTAGCCAAGAGTTCAGAATGCATTGGGTAGGAACCGAGGACCTGATTCTCCTCTTGTTTACTCCAATGTAAATCAGGAATCACTCCACTGTAAGCCAAAGTAGTACCTAGGAGAATCAGGCCCTGAATCCCTAAAGGGGAGATAAAACAAGTCCAGTTCACAAATATGCGCATAGTGGGTCTGATACAATGGAAGTCAATTGAACTTCCCTGGGCTGTGGATCAGGTCCCCTGCTGTTGCTCTAGATACAAATTAAACATCACTTGTATTTGTTTATTCCAGTAAGTATTTTGTACCTCATCGCATTTGTAATGTCAACGGGAAACTGCATGTCGTTCACACAGTTCAGAACTGTCTCCCCCATCCAGAAGACTGGCTTCAGCTTTATACCAGCACTTCCATTGTTTGTAGCTAAAATATACTTCCAGAAGGTGAACAAAATTGTAATTGTTTACTGAGACAGCTTAGCAGTAGTTATAAACAAGGGCTGATGAGTTCTCCTAGGGGAAAATTATTAAATAAACTCAGAAATATGAAATTTGTATTCATCAGTTAGAATTACGTGATTAGAAAATTCAAATCAGGCTCAGCAAATTATCTGTAAAGGATTCATTCTTGTGACAGAAGAGATGATATTTTAATTCACCTTACCATCATTGCTTATCTATATTTGACTGTTACACTCCATGACGGGGTAAACAGATTGATAAATTATTTAAACACACTCTATTCTAATGCTTTCATCTTACACACACACAGGTCATTTAGCACTCGTACCATGCTTTCAATTTTCATCAGGACTAGCATAATCTAAAGTATGCACCAGATGACATGCTTTCTCTGAGACGTTCAGAAATCTTCAGCTAACTTCCTTGTAGATGTTTATGATCTCTTGAATGCCTGGTATTAGCTCACCTCACCTTGTATGAATCATTAGCCCTGCTCCTGTTTGTGAATAAAGATGCAATTTAAGAAGCCAACCACTTCTTTCCAAAGCAAACAGTATCAAAATAACCTAGCGACATAGCGAAGCCTATGTCCACAGCACAGCAGCATTTCCCTTTCCTATTGTTTGTTTTGCAACACTCCTTTGCGCCTACAGCTCAGCCCTGCTCTTTCTCCCAGGCGTCCACTTCAGTGCAGCTTACCAAAAACCCAACACATGCTGAATCGGCTCCTGATGGCAGTGAAATGCACCCTGGAGATTTCTCTTCAGCAGGAAACCAGACCAATATCCAGAGTGCTACACAAAAGCAAAGTCCCAGCAGCTGCTAAAGGCAATGGGCAACTTGTTCAGCTTCCCAAACAACCTCCATTTTCTTCCCCTCCTTTATGATGCATAGGGCGTCAGAGGGGATTAGCGGGCGTTGAACTAGGACTCTCCTCAGCCTGCAGATTCACAGCTGTTAAAGGCAGCGAGGAGAGGGGCCAAAAGGCCAAAGGGGAGCCCAAGACTGAAGGTTTCAGGATGAGAGAGCTGTCGTCAAGAATGGACCCTCTATTCTGCAGCCGGACTAAATCCGCACGTTGGAATTCACGGGAGGATAGTGACCCTGAGACCCCTCTACTTCTCTGCTTCTCCTCCTGCCTCAATAGTCACTGCTTTAGCATCTCCAACAACTCCTCCTCTCCCCGGTTCCTCTCCTGGGCTCCCTCCTTCTATCCCCCTGCACTTGCCCCTTAGGTGTCCTCATCCGCTACCATGGTGTCAGCTACCACTTTTATGTGATGACAGACAGATCTACTGATGTGCCCCCAGCTTCCCCCCTTCCAGCCAATCCAGGCTCTCCGCTGGTGTGGATCCCACTGCTGTCTAAGGCCCTGGTACTGGAGAGAGAACAGCATAAGGTGGCCCCTACACCCACCCACAGTTCTCTTGAGGTCACTGGGACTGTGTGGCCTTATCCATAAGAGGCAGTTAACCCTGAGGGTAAATCCCTTGCAGCCAGTGGAGTTACCCCTGGGATGAAGTCACGCCGTTATGTCATTGGAACTCCATGCAGCAGATCCTCGGCTGGTCAGAGCTCCATCGGTGTCACTGGAGTTCTGACAATTTACTCTAGGTGAGGATCTGCTCCATCTTTCCTCTAAAACGCACTCCTCTTTCCCTGCCTTTATCACCACGGACAGCTCCACTACCCCCAGGCCCACAACTTCAATGCTGCTGTCAGTGACTTTCTAGCCTTCTTCCCCAAATCCAGATGCACATACAAGTATGTAAACCATGGGACGGAGAATAGCCCTAGGCCAGATTTGTCCTTTTTTCCCTGCTTAAAATCCTGGGAAATTAAATGCACCATTCACTAAATCAATGAGGCATTAATGCAACACTGAAATCAAGTACTTAAAAGTCAGGTAATTCAGAAATGTAAGGTGTTAGCCATGATGTTAACTAGGTCACATGGCATCTATGTAGTATTTCCTACTGTGGTTTAATGTAGGTTATTCCTAACAATGCAAGAGCATTATAAGTACATACTGTAAATTATACAGGATGTGTAATATAATTTACTTAATGCTTTGGGGAAAACTTAAGTGCAAAATAATAATTTTAATGCAACTTTAAGGTTGTGAAATCCAGCACTCTAATATAAGGAAGGTCCTAAAATTTAATTCATTAATTGAACAAAACGCACACACCTACTGACCTAGAATTCATAAATGCAACTTAGTTTACAACTTTCAGGTGTTTACAAAGAGAAAATGTGCCCTGACTCTGCTAGTGCATGAAATGCTGGTGTTTATCTCTACGTGTTGCATTATGTTTGCCTTACTGGTACATTTTTAAATTTTTAAAAAATCAAGACATTAAGTTGACTCATTATTCAAACAGCCTGGGAAGTAACGTATATACCAATAACACAACTAATTTCCTTTATTTAAAAGAGTGTTTCAGCAGCATTAGATTTAGAGTCTTTAATCTATGCGAAATTGCACACTGGGCAATATTTACCATTAGAACTGGAAAACAAACATAATTAACCACATCAGGGAAAAGGACGCCAAATCTCATCTCAGATCAGTGCCCATAACAGACAGG